TGAGCACGAAAATTGGAACGATTTTGTCGAGGAAAGAAATAGTTTTTCATTCTACTTATTCTTGTTGTGCCGATTTTTTCTTTGAAAGTACCGGAAAGGATTTTTTTATTATTTTACTTGGTGAGAGTCTAGTCAACGGACCAAGAGCTATTCGTGTTTTGTAATAAAGGGAGGGAGGACCAAAATATTTCGAATAGCTGAAGTGTTGTACAATCTGAAGATTATGAGGCTAGATAATTGATTTGCATTTAATTTTTTCAGACGTAGATTATTAGAGTTTAATTATTGCTGCTAACATGCCTAGTATGTCTACTATATCACGGCGCATAATGATGACGGAATTATGGTAACCCCATTGTTCTAAACATTGTAATCTACATAAAATCATAAAAAAGCTTCACTTTTGAACTAAATACAAATTGTATTATTTTCGAGCAACGTAGATGCTGTGATGGTTTTTATTGGATATTTAATTATAAAATTAGACGTTGGAAACGCAAGTACGCAACGTACTGATATGCACAGGTCAGATGACTCAAAATAGTGATGACCTGCGATTCGAAATTGTATTTATTTTAAATATCCATAATACGCGAGTACCTATACCAACATACATTGTAAAATATAATTTAAATATTGATTTAAGATTATATATCTTGAAAATTTGAAATCAAAATTAAATTACTTTTTTCTACATCCGGGGCAAAGGATAAAAATAAGGAGGACGCATGTGTGAATCAAAAACACAATTTAAAAGAAAAAATTGAATAAAATATATTCAATTGGCTTGGGCCTCAAAATATTCATAGACACATGAAAATATAAAATTATGGTGTTCCTTTATTTACACATAATATAATATAATATAACTGAAGTAACAATAACCATTGTTATAAATTATAATAACTATTGTACATATTAAGTTGTTATTATGACTGAGATTCGAAAAGCTTGTATAATTTATAGATTTAAGAGAAAAATAAAATACACACAAGCGGCCACAACTATTGTTGAGTTGAAAAAAATACTTCAGGCATATTATCATATTATTAATCATTTATGTATTATAAATTATAATCTTTTACTGTTCAATTTTTTTTTATTAATTATTGTTGATATATTATTTATAATGGTTGTTATTAGAATATTGCATATTCTACAATATAATACAATATTATAGTGTGGCCGACACTGAGTGTTTTTTAGATTTGTTTAATAGGTACTACACGCCGCAAAGGGAAACGTAATTTTCCAACGCGTTAAACAATAATAACATTTCTGCTATTCAGATGTGATGTAAAATGCACACTTGATGACATTATCGCCTGTAGTTAATGTAATTTACATTGCGATGATGATAATAATTATTATTAATTATATTGCAGTGAACACTATATATAATAATTTAAAATAATAATAACAACAACAACAACAATAGTAATAATAACAATAATGAAACAGTCGCAAACGCAAGTAGACATTACTGTATTACATATTATTACGATCTAATCTCCATCCACGTACAATTATTATATTTATATTCTAACATTACATTATTATTATTAGGTATAATAATTATGGTTATTTCGCTTCACTAAAACCATTAATAAATCAACTGCAACACTAAGTAACGACCTAATATTGTAATTTATTTGCTACGCTGCGCTACGACTAAAATTAAAATGTGTTAGTGTGTTTTACTCTCATAGGTTTATTTAAATTATATAGTATACACATAGGACGGTAGTACCTATAATAATATATAATTAATTTGTTCAGGATTTTAAAGTATATCTTAGAGCATTTTATCTTTGATCATGTAATCGGCACATTCGCTGTATACGGTTGTGTGTTGCGAAAAATATTTCGTATAAAACTTTGTGGGTTTTACAAGTATTTTTCGTACGACGTATTACGATATAAACCATACACGTAGCACGCCGTGTATGCACGTATCTGATGGATTCGTATTCATTTATTCACTGATAGTTTTACCTTTGACCCAACTGTGCTCTACAGTTTTCCACGTATTCGACATTAAAAAAAAAATATATAAATAAAATATAAAATCCGTATAAAAAAATTAATACGTACATCAAACATGTGTTTTAAGTTCAATATTATGTTATTAGTTTAGTTGTTAGCTATAATCGACGTGAGCTATGCACAGATTATTTTTTATAATATATGGTGCATGTAATCTTTTAAATATTTTGCTTGAGCGAAAAAAAATTGTTTTCAATAAAATGTCCACAGATATTTTTTCTTCGTCCGATACCTACCTTATAGACGTCAGTTAAGACAATGTGCCAACAAAACAAGAATTGATCGAAAGAAAATCATTTTAAATTTATAAAAGTATAAAAAAGAAATGTTTAATCATTTAAAATACGTATTGCAACCTGAAACTCGCATTCAATTTTATTTAGATTATTTTAACTTATTTGATTATAAAATATTATACGCAATACAATCAATTAGCTAGTGCAATACTTTTATTAGTACATCAGTAGTTTTTGAATATTTCCTATACATTTTATTTTTTAATTAAAAGGGACATGTGGATTTTTTTCGGTTATCGATTTACAACATTTTGCTGGAATTCTAAAAATTAGTTATGTTAACTACTACAAATAAGTTAATAATAATTTCAATAATCATATATACCTACACAATAAAATAAAACTTCATATCCAATTTAGGCAACGTTATTATAATACAGTACCATAATAATAACATGTCCAGATGATTATTCAAAAAACGTTTTGCCTTTGATTTCTCTCAAACATAATGAATTCTAAACTAGCTGTTTGTAGTTTTTAAGCAGATAGTAGGCTTATACATACAATATTTGACAGAACGATACGATCAACCCTGATTAGGTTTTTATCGCATATATTGTATGATATACATCTTGTATGAAATTTTCGAGCAACATATTATATCCCTACTGATCAAAACAAAGATTTGGGTAAATAAATATAAGCTAGGTACAATGGGTACATATTATGGTTGGTTAAAAGAGATAACATTTCAAATAAAATGATCTCAATCAAAATTCAAATAGTTTAATATGCAGTCATTAGTAGTTCTAATGCATTGGTGCAATGTCCTGGACCTACGTCCACTTCACTGTTTCTTTTGCCGCCAGATGAATATTTTGTATTGTACCTACTCTTGAATACTCGAAGCGGACACTAAAACTATTGTGACAAGTCGTCTGTGATTCGCGAGCACGCAGTCACGATGTTTACCCAAATGAACTCAAATGACCACTTCGAGAAAAATTGAATAGGTATCAATATCGGGCAAACAATATCAAACACATAATTCTGTCTTTATATAGGTACATATGAGTTTTTTTCTTTGAGGATAATATAGTATTGCGTTGAATGTAAATTTCTTCATTATGACTAAATAACGAATAAGTACCTACGTTTCATAAATAAAAATAACGTATCGATTTTTATAAATTTCCACATTATTATTGAAGTAAATTCATTTTCTTAATTTTTTTTACTACTTAGAGGTGATTTTTATCTATTCACAGGCATATTGACAACTATCATTATTCGGCGTGAAATATATTCAGTCTGTCCTAAACCATAATAGAGAACGTCGTCGTAACAAATAAGCTAAAATATGTAAACGATTATTGATGTTACCATGGATAGGTATGAGAGTTGTATACATTTTTTGGCTCCGAACCAAGTAGTGTTGAAACGATTTTATTCTTTAAATCCACTTTATAACATACACCGGTTTTTTGATCAAAGCTCTATAATCAAAGTTCACACCCATCCTTGCGGGTACATTATTTAAATAGTTGTTCACAATTAAAAGGTGCTAAATCGATCAAATTAACACATTTGCTAAGCGATCTAAATAGCACTTTTTGGTTCTTAACAATAGAATATAAACCAAAAGGTTCTATTTACGTGATAAAATAAATTAATGTTAACCAAAGATTACCATCTCATATTCATTGTATCAGCCACACAATAATAATATTATGATAGTACAATATTATTAATTATTGTACCTTCATTAACAAAACAAAGATTTCTATAAACAATTTTGCAAATTATAAATTAAGAAGGCATGGCCGCACTCGGAACCAATTTTAGGTAGGGAGTAGGTGGGTTATGAAAATCAAAATCATATAACTTTAATGTGAAATTGCTTGGTTAAAAACTATTTAATCTAAGACAAATTCGTTTGTGATCTTGTAAATAAGTATCTATTATTTAAATGAAAAGCCAATGTTACGTTATTTATTACTCTGAGGTTGGTAACGTCTAAGCAAAATCATACATTTAATTCACAACGAAAAAGTTCTAGCTAAGTGAAAAAATATATATTAACAACCAAAAGGGTCCTATCAGAAGAACTATTAGGTTCTTGCGGGAAATTGCTTACATTTTTGTTTTTTACGCTTGGATTTCAAAAAATAAATAACAAATTCCTATAGTGTTAACGCAAACAATTATTGAATTTTTAGATGTGCCATTATTAAAAAATAATTCATTGCGAAAAATATAATACAGTTTCAATTTGAAAATAGTTTAAAAAATAGTTCTAATGAACATTTTGAGATTTTAAGATAGCATCATTTGATTCTGAGCCCACGTAATATTACTCGGGTATTTAGCTATTCGTTCATTTTTTTTTTATTCCTTGTACTTTTCTTTTTTATATGATTAAGATTTCGAAAATGAACTTTGAACAAAAACTTGTCGTTAAATATTTCACATTCATGAATAGATAATGATTCATTAGGTTTTGCACGTCGAAGCCCTTAATATAAGCCTGTTTATTACCCACCCACGCAATGCGTACATCGATGACCACGCGTACCAATAATAGTGAGTGAAGGCAATACAATTCCCAAACGTATACTTTCTTGCACCGCATAATATCGTCAAAAAGACTCGTGTTCACAACAGGTATACAGGTGGAAGTCGATAATAATTTTAATTTTTCGCTCTTTTCTTTCGCAGATTTTCGGTGCCATTACCGCCATCCTGCAGTTCGTCCTGCCGTTCCTGATCATAGCGTTCTGCTACGTCCGAGTGTGGCTTAAACTTAACGACCGGGCCAGATGCAAGCCCGGCACATCGACGAAGAACGCAAGGCGGGAAGAAGTGGAGCGCGAGAGAAAGAGCCGGACTAACAGGTAAATAATAATATGCTCACTACGTCTCTGTGTGTCACACATTTACACCTATATTATGCCATTATTATCGTGAATTTATAAACGACTGTGTACAGGATGATTCAATGACTTCTGTGTTTTAGAGAACCACCTTTTTTTTTTTTCAAATGTATTCGGTAGATATCTTTTTTTTTTGTATTAACGTCTATGTATCCATATCATAATTCGGACGAGTGGCTTCTCTGAGTTATTAAAATGCGATTGAACTGAGGAAAATAGTTCTTGATGTTAATAATTTTACAGAAATATAAAATAGATGTAATATCGAATCTAGTGTTTATTTTACTGCGACAATTCTAACAAATTAAAACATTTTGATGGATCGAAGTGAATTACTATAATTTTTAAATCAGCAAAGTCCCCATATTTTCTAATCTTTTCACTCTTGGAACACATATTTATAACTCTGAAACTACTTATTTTAATAGATTTTAATTTAGATGCATCAACGTTCTCGAAAAAAATTATCTGCTACCTACCTAGTTAGTTTGATGTGAAAAAAGTGGGGTTCTCGTTTGAAAACGGAAGTTTATGACACGCTGTCTGTACATGTTACTAATTATATCAAACATTCGAAAATATAGTCATTGTTAAGTACAAGTACTAGAAGGTTCCACAAATCAGATTTCGAACGACCACCTAATGGAAAAAGCTGCTTTCTCAGCGAATCACTCTGTATAATATATTATGATGTATGCACAATTCGCACGGGAGTCGTAGGTACTGTGGTCGTACAGCGGTGAGAATACGATACAAATGCGAGTGGGTAGGTGTATCACACGCACAGAAAACACCCACGGAAATACATACGGTTCCGAAGTCCAAATACACGGCGTGTATAGTGTTTAGTTTCGGATTCGAACTGCCGTCGTTAAATCACAATATCGTATTATAGTATATTGTGATGTATTGTTCCGAAGGGAGTGGGTCGGCGAGGCAAAAAAAAAAAAAAAAACCACTCAATTTGCAAATGCCCGTGTAGGTAGGTAGTATCGTTATTGTAATAATAATAATATCATCTGGCCGCGAGTATTTACGTATGATATTATATTTCGTTCAGACGCCGAAGGACTCGGTGGCGTAAAATTACCTCTGGAATTATTTTCGTATCGATCTCCGTCGTCACCGCGGCGTATTGTTAAACGGAACGGCGAGATGTTTTTATTTCAGTCCATTAGGTTTAGAGTTTAGCAACAACACGAAAAAAAAATCTCGCTGTAACATCTTGGATGATTTCCCATCGGACTGCCACGACTGCCATTGTGCGCTGCACAAGCGGCGCCTGTATACAAATGCATAATATTTTTCCCCGCCCACTCTCCGCCGGTCGCGCAGTGCAGTGTTTACCAGTCACTTAAGTTAAAAGCAAATAATGCGCAAACAAAATAACTCCGACTTTCCGATACATATATATATTGTGTATTATATGGGTTTCGGAATATTTTTATCCTCTGAGCTCCGTCGTGTTCGTCTTTATTATACGAATTATAATTTATAACTATAATTGCGCTGTGTGAACAGACCTATATGAGCTGCACCACTCTCCCAAAGGCAACCGGTCGTTATGACGTGCCCTCTGACGTGAGTCACGAGGTGGCCATACACAATTACTACAATTTTTTCTGTGCAATAAACTGAAACCGAGAATTACAATAATCCCTCACGAAATAAAAAACATACCTAAACATCATAACTGGACATCAATTGTTTGTATACACGGTTTCTACGTGTTTCATTATGAAACATAACATGCAGTGGCGTAATTTCATTTTTTATAGAGGGAGAGGGGGGGATGAAATTTTGCACATGAATACAATATCATGAACATATTTATTAGTGCAATAAACTTTTTTCACCATGAACAATTAATAAGGATATTTTTATTTTAATGGTATTTATTTGTGTTATAAACGTTTAATGCAAAATATTAAGTATGCCGATTTTGTATTTTATTATTACTCAATTGTGTATTCTTGACTACTTTTACATCTGAAATTATATTAAATTTTCATCGGCTCCTTATAAATTTGTCTAATCAATCTCATGTTGTTAACCCTTGTCCACCAGCAACGACATAACTGAAAAAAGTTTCAGGGTATCCAACATTTTTTTTATATGGACTCTTAATGGACACTTAATCATTTTTACATTCAAAATATTAACACTCTTATTAAGTTTTAAAAAATGCATTGGGAGGAGGTCCGGACCTCTGGACCCCCCCCCCCCCACACACACACACACACCCCAGTTACGGCCTTGTCCACCAGTTTGAGAGACCTGTGAAACCGATTGCCAAATACGTAATTCATATTTAGGAATTGTTGCCGAACATAAAAAATTGTCTTCACAATGTCAATTGATTCCGGGTTTTGATGTGATTTTGTTAGTGTTTCCGATTTAATGTTCCATTTTAGTATGGTTCATACTCATAGTTTTCGAGACTATATGACTCTATTTCAAAAATGATGAGTAATATTTTTCTAGAGTTATGTAAGAAGTATTTTGATCATTTTCCCCAACTAAAAGTTTTTAAATTTCATAACGTCATTTGAAATCTCGCACAACCGTTCGATTACAATAAGTATCTATATCCTTAAATTTGCTATACTTCGTTTGTAAAATCAAGGACCGCAATGATTATTGTAGTCCGAAATGTCGATATTTTTTCTAGGATTGACGAAAAAGCGATGTTTAACCAATAAATAAAAATAGGTTATAGTATTCAAACTTTTACCATATCATATGGTGATGTGTGTAAGTTAAAAAAATCTCATAATGGGATACGTGTATACGACACCAATATCGCCCAACAATAGGGGTCAAACTTGGGGGATGAGGGGATAGATAGATCCTATACCTTGAACTTTTTTTCAATATTTATAATAACTTAAGTACCTATATTATACAGCTATATAAGTATAAAATGGTAGCCATAAATTATATATTTAATATCAGAAACAAAATCATTTGACCTCCACTGTACCCTACCGTTCAATAATTCACATTTAGGCTTGAGTACACGGGCACACAGTCCCTTTTTTCACTATGGTTTTTATGTGCTACTATTTGTTTATACATTATTATTATTATTATTATTATTATTATTATTATTGTTATTGCTTAGACTTAAGATATAAGTTGGGTCGTAGAGAATAATACACACAAAACGCTGTAAATAATATTAATTTATTGAATTCTACGGCAATACAGTACACGCTCTTCCACCGAACAATAAGGTCATTTATTGTAAAATTATCAATTATTGGCCTCGGGGGTGGCCAGAGAGACATGGTTGGGTTGCTAAATCATAATTTTTAGACAACTTTTGATATTATAGTATGTTTTTTTCAACAATATACAATTTTTTGAGAAATACGAGCTTGGGAGGTGGCCGTGGTCTCTAGGGTCTACCCCGGAGCCGCCTCTGATTCGCCTGTGCCATACACCATAGAGTCGTATTTATTGAAACCAAAAATGATGGGACCATAAAAATATATTTTATGTATAGGTAGGCACTATAGGTATTTCATTAATTTCTGTCATAGCCACAACGCAAATTGGAAGCGTTTACGACTGTCGACAGCGACCTCGACAACACTACGTGTTATTATTAAAATTTATTTTACAATATTTCATATTGTAATACCCGGTTAGCGGTCGACATTCGGCATGGTGTAACATACTAACCACCGCGTACTACATGGCAATCGGTAGATCGGTAGTGATTAAGCTGACTCGGATGAAGGAGAAAGAACAAAGGAAAAATAACTAAAAACAAAAGTTTTAGAAGCGAGCATGTATTTATTACGACGGAGAGAGATGCATTTATTTTTGAAACCGACACCGAAATGTGACGATATGAAGATACCAATATGCGTAAATGTGAATAATACGTTAAATGTTTAATACGAATTTATAAATATATGTATATAGGCATGATGTATATATAGCATACTGTATGCGGACATTATTATTGTTCGAGTATAAAGGGATTAACGACATTATCATGGCGCATCGCAAGTGTGTTCGTAAATTAATGTAATCAAGGATTTCGCGGACGTACAAATGCGAATTTCAGTATAATTGTAATACGTATTCATGTATTACTGTTGACACGTTGCACCACAGTATTTCAGATTTCACACAGGTTTAACACGTAGTATAATATTTTTATATTTTTGAATCTATAAATGTTTTGGTAAATAGGTTTAATGGTTAACATAATATTGTAGGTATAGCCGTTTTTTATAATAACTATATAATTTTTTTTTTATTATTATTATTGATCATTGGTTTGACGACGACAAGACCACTAGTTCTAATTCACTTTGTAATTATATGTATTTTACATTCTAGTTTGATCATATTTGTTTATCTCTATTTTTTTTTTTTAACTTGTTCTTGTTAATATTTGATTGGAAGTTAGGTTGTAGAGCTTCTAGTATATTAGATTTGTGGGGTTTATTTCTTACGTTTTTGAACTTTGGGCATTCAGATGATATGTATGTAACTGTGTATTCTATACTTATTTTTTTATTTGATTTTTATCGATTCGCAAACAGGAAAATCGTTTCAGGCCATGAGGTGGTTATATGTTGATAATAATGAATTTGTGTCCTACATTAAAATTACTTATAAAATAAGTTATAATTGAGGTTGAACTTATTTGTTTGTACAACATCGCAAATGCTAATGCCCATTAGAATAAAAGAAGTATTAAAATAATTTAAAACCATAACATTATACTATTGTTACCAACTTAAAACCAATACCTGTGGAACGATTTGTTAAGTCTCCACACTTTACTGTTAATATTTTTTGAGTTTCAACGAATAACTAAAATCAATACATTTATTTTAGATACCCAACTGCATAAAACTTCAACTTGAATGTATAAACAAAAAACTGCTGACATTTGAAGTTCGAATTTGAATGAAATTCGTTATTTTGAAAAACAACAA